AGCAGCATCCGTAGAGTTGCGGCTGGGGAGATGCTGGCCGAGAACTATGGACCGGTGTTCACCCATCACACCCTGGAGCAGCGTCAGCGCAAGCTCCTGTCCCGATACTGGTTCAGGTGCGATTGATAACTCGATAGATGTGCAATTTGTTGGCAGAAATAATCTTGTTAGATTTTTTTAATCTTGTAAGATTTAGACATTTTTGTCTAAATAAACATATTCATTAGACAATTCACTTATGAGCGAAACGATAGAAAATCAGAACCTTGTCGACATGATTTACGAGGGTTGATCCCTTAAGCTTGAGTTTTGAGCATTTAGACATTTTTGTGATCTTGTAATCTCCATGCATCTTTTTTTCTAAGTAGTAATCTTGTAAGATTTTTGACTTTATTCATTAGAACTTTTTTCCATTAAAGCAATATTTTAGATCGCTCGTCTTGTAACATCTCTATTAAACATCAATTTTATTAAAATGCCTCATCTGATTTGTTAATGTCGTATGATACTTCTCCCCAATCTGCTTATTGTCTTTTAGACTCATAAAACATGCCAGTCCTGCCTAATAAAATATTTGCGACACATAACGTAATGCTGCGTTCTACATCCCAATTACATAAATCCCATTTACAAATCTTGCCAGGGAATAAAATTTAATAATGATAGTTTAGAATTACGCCTAATTAATTAATTCCCGACAAGTGATTGCCAGCAATAATAATTAGCAACAGCATCGCTGCTTTAAGAGCAAGCCATCGATATCTTATGTGTGCTGTTCTTCATAGAAACTGTCATCCAGGATGATGCTATAATGCATTTATATTTATGTAACATGAAAGAGATGAGTGACTACATATGATCCTTTGAGCCTTCAATATTCATATCAGGTTTAAATTCGCGTAGTCCTCTAAAGTTCCTCCAGCCAGTCAGCCGTGACCAGTTAGCGTGAGTCAAGAATGATAGTGAGTAGGTGAAATTCTCAAATGTTCAATGCTCTTTTAAAAAGTGATAGAATCATGCAACCCAGTCACAGGAGGCCCTCAGTGATCAACGCTTTCAGTGAAATATGTCCTCCGACATCTGATTTGCATCCTCTGTGCAATATGGCCTCAATGCAATATGTCCTCAGTGTAATATGTCCTCTGTGCAATATTTCCTCAATGCAATATGTCCTCAGTGTAATATGTCCTCAGTGTAATATGTGCTCAATGCATATGTCCTCAGTGAAATATGTCCTCAATGCATATGTCCTCAGTGTAATATGTCCTCAGTGTAATATGTCCTCAATGCATATGTCCTCAGTGTAATATGTCCTCAGTGTAATATGTCCTCAGTGTAATATGTCTTCAGTGCATATGTCCTCAGTGTAATATGTTCTCAGTGTAATATGTCCTCAGTGTAATATGTCCTCAGTGTAATATGTCCTAAGTGCAATATGTCCTCAGTGTAATATGTCCTCTGTGCAATATGTCCTCAATGCAATATGTCCTCAGTGTAATATGTCCTCAATGCATATGTCCTCAGTGTAATATGTCCTCANGGCTGCTGGATAATAGCATCGTTGCAATTATATAGTTTCACTCTACTGAGGAATCATCAATTCTGTCTTTGTCTGTTATGACAGCTCTTGTTCTGCACATCTCTGCCATCTTAAGTTATATAGAATAAAAATTAAACATAAGAAATACTAAAAATTATCGATTTCAGTTTCATCATTGATGACAGTTTAAATAAAAGGGATTATGAACTTATCAGGAATTAATCGACCTCATAAATTCCTTGATTACAGAAAATTCAATTCATTAAACTGATAACATTGCGAATGTGGAGGTATAAGAAAATCTCTTACACATGCGAGATTTATTTATTATTAGAATGCATTAGTATGAGGAAAATATACAGTAATACGAATTATTACTAACAAATAAACAAAAGAGTTTCGGTCGACAGGTCGGCACGCCGTGGCAGCGCGCGACGTGGCACCTGGCGAGCTGCTGGTGGCAGAGGAGCCTTACGCTGCGGTCGTGGCCAGGGGCATGGCGGGCACCTACTGCACCTCCTGCTGCAGGAGGTGAGGTGCTGCAGGAGGTGAGGTGCTGCAGGAGGTGAGGTGCTGGTATTTGTTTGGGACATAGCAGTCCCAGGCCACGATGGATCGCCGCCTCTGATTGTCGTTCATCCGCCCTCATTTGGGCCACCTGATGCACGATGCTGTAGCTTGCTTCTCGCCGCTGGTAGTGTTGCAGGGGAGGTCGAGCTGGGATTGTGCCCAGGAACACGTCCAGTTGTCTCTTGAAGGTCTCCAGGGTGAACTCACCCTCTCTTAGATCCTTTGGTAGGGCGTTGAACAGCCTCGGCCCTGCCACGGAAAGTGATCCTTCCCGCAGGGATTGAAATCTGACTGCGGATCTGTTACGTAGTGGGGGGATCTTGCACAGTCTCCTCCTTCTCTCGTTGTGATATGTCTCAATCCTGAAGGTCTCGCTCTCGAAGTTTGGCACCATTCCGGTTATCATTTTGCTGCCGGAGGTGAGGTGCTGTAGGAGGTGAGGTGCTGTAGAAGGTGAGGTGCTGCAGGAGGTGAGGTGCTGCAGGAGGTGAGGTGCTGCAGGAGGTGAGGTGCTGCAGGAGGTGAGGTGCTGCAGGAGGTGAGGTGCTGTNATATGTCCTCAGTGAAATATGTCCTCTGTGCAATATGTCCTCAGTGTAATATGTCCTCAGTGTAATCTGTCTCTTATACACATCTACACAACTTTGTTGCCCAGATGATTCATAAAAGTTGCTCAAAGTTTGCCATCACTTGAAATGCCGATCTTTCGATGTGAGTAATTAGCTTATATATAAAATGATGCATATTCTATAATTTCTTTCTGTCATTTAAGTTAATTTTCCTCAATCCTAATTAAGGCTGTTCGCCGCTGTCCCGTGTCCGGTCTGCTGCGGAGTCGCTTTCTGTACCACAGCCTGCCGAGACGCTGGCATGGACGCACACAGGTCAGATTTGCTACATAAACGTAAACATGCAACATGCGTATTTAATATCAGTTCCCAATTTAACTAATTTAATTAAAGTTTCAATTTAACTGATTTAATTCTAGTTCCAATTTAAATGGGTTTCAGTTTCCCAATTCGCAAGTTGGTTCAAACTCGGTACGGCTTCACTAAAGGACTTTGATATTTTAATTAGCGTTGAAGCTTTCTGATGTTTGCTGATTTTTGTATGTTTATGCCAAATGTGAGTAAATGTTGTACAGTAGGAAAGTTGGTTCAACATCAGTACGGCTTCATGAAAGGACTTTGATATTTTTATTAGCGTTGAAGCTGACTTCTGTGTATGTTTGCTGATTTTCGTTCATTTATGCCAACTGTGAGTAAATGTTGTACAGTGGAACACCGCCTAACGAACGATCTGCCTTGCGACCAAACAATCGAGCGCACAGACAAGTCTGAAAAATTGTGCTCCGCTGTACGCCCCCGGGCACTGCAAAACCATTGGATCGGCATAAAAACTGTCCAAACCTATCGATTATAAATTGGATATTATTATGAAATATATGCGGCCGGCATGAGGTTGTTGACTTGACCAAGGAATGTGAACAAATTTAGCGCGACCTACCTTTACAGTGGAAGGCATGATAAAATTAATTAATTATAGAAAATAACCTTTACCACCTAATTAGTAAAGGAAAGAAAACGTCTTAGAAAAATAAATTTTGTCAATGGGTTTAGTGTTCATGAGAACACAGCAATCTTGCACAAATTGACGCGTTCTGCAACCCGGTGTAAGTCCTCTGATTTGGGAGCATGAGCTTCACCTGCCCAGCGCAAGCCAGCCAGGTAGCACAGAGAAACTTATGCGCCCATTTTCGTGCCGCCTACAACTGATTTTAGTGCAATTTTTACACCAAAATTTACTGTAGAAAATAAGAACAAGCCGAATATTTGGGTCTAAATTCTAGGAAAGTCTTAATTAAATTAATACTACATGGATCAGCGTCCATTTCCATAATTTCCATAAGAAAAATAGATTCGTTTGATAATCGAACCGCTTTTAGAACCGAGTTCCTGCACGAATTAAGTTCGTAAGGAGCGTTCGTTCCTCTTTTTATCATCATGGATTAATTTCAGTTGATAAAATTTTGTGCAGGCAATTCGACCGGCAATGCTCTCTTTTCTGTTATGTTTGCCTTTTGAAGCAACTTTGATAGTGAAGTCTAATTATTTTCGAAATACATGAAATCTAAGAACCTCTAAACTCTCGAGTTGATCCAATTATCAACTTTATAATAAAACTTATAATATATAAGTATAAATAAAAGTATATAATAACTACTAAGGATTTAATAAAACTTCTAATTATAATTTTTTATATATACTTGATCGACGGGATAATGAATAAATCAGGTACATTCCATGCATAATTGAATAACGAGTGACATTAAATGCAGGCTGGAGTGCCCTTTTCTGGACCTGCTACACGCCTCTGGGATGTCCCTCAACGGTTACCTCGCTCTCAGGATCATCACGTGCCGTCCTCTGCAATATTATTTGCAGGTGAGTCGCGGTAGGAGTGATTCTGTCATGAAGTGAATCACGAGTTGCAGAAGTCACAGCTGAGCTCAAATTTTTGTTCCGGTAGAGTTACAAAAAAAAAATAATCTGGGTGAAGTGAGTCGTTGCATGCTGTGAAGTGAGCCCCAAGTAAGATGTGTCATTGCTCGCGAAATTTAATTGGATTTTGATTAAAACTCGCGCGAAGGTCGTAATTGAAAGAGCAAGTCTTACTATAAAATTAATCACGACCTAAAATCATATGTAGTTGGATAAAAACACCATAGTTGAAGATGTTCCTTAGTTATGAAAGTCCACACCTGTTCTTAAGACCAGCACTCAAGATATTGCTAGGTATTGGGACAACAACAATATTGATGTTTTTCTTCTATACTCTTCGACTTAACGTTTCTGTAGTGCGTGTCAAACAATATCCCTTGTGAGTCTAGTCACGAAAAATTCATAAATCAGCAACAGGCCATGGGCCTATTTCTTCAATACCGACACCTATTCTATTCTAATAGGTACGGTAAACACACGCTTCCCGTCCGCAGCTTAGAAGAGCCCTACGGCAAACAGGTCTTCTGGAGCCTGTGGACGGTACACCAGGAAAAGACCAGGAACTGCTGGTGCCTTCTGCCAAGCATCCGCACGACCCCAGCAGCTACCTCTCCGTCTACAGTCTTGTAGGGCTCGAAAAACAGAGAGAACCTCTGGACTTCCTGCAGAGAACTCTCATGGCGGTGCTGCTGCTGAAGGTGTTGCAGAGGTCCGGCTACTTCGGTCCGTGGTGCGATGACAGTGGGTGTCCATGAAGTTTACCTTCAACTGCATTAAAATCCGTAGATTATTTATTCGTTTCAATTATAATTTGCTGGATATGTTATACTTTGGCATGGAAAATTTTCATGTCTGTAGTTTATTTCGAATGTCACATTCTGTGAAATACAATAGTTAGAGAAAAAATAAATGAACAAGTCATGAACAAACAAATTATATTCGCTGAAGCATTCCATGGTAGGCTATTTTATTCATGAGGTCAGGCTATTTTAGTATGTTATAAATAGGTATGAATTCTTTCTGAGTTTGATGTCAAGAATGAGTCAGGATTAAGAGTCCTTGAAGAATGAGTCCTTCAGCAATCATTTTTGAATGAGCCAACGGTGCCTGATGCCGTGACCACTTCATGCCGAATGGCGGTAAACAAACACCTTTAAATTCGAAATACTGGCTCGAAATATTTAGAGAATTCCACTGATTTTGACGCATCGGAACCTTATCTGACGCTGTTAGGTGAGACGCATATCGGAACGAGTGATTAGCGCCTGCCAGTAGGGATGTTTATTATAAACAGGTAATATAGTTTCCTCGATTTAGTTGTAGAGAAATTTTTAAATACATTAAAACATACTAAAGTTTTAGTTTTTAATTTTTTATTCGAGGTTCTGGAATATTAATTTTAATTTTATTTTTATGCAGCTCCGGCAGATGCAGATGCAAACGATGAAGAGCTGTACATCGGCGCACTGCTGCTACGCAACTTACAGCTGCTGCAGTTCAACGCTCACGAGGTGCATGATGCTTCCGCCCTAAGACGATCGTGTCGACTTTCGTATTATTGTTGACATTTTATACGCACATTTACGATCAAAATTTAGCAAATCTGTTGATCTATGATAATTTACGATCTTGTGATCTTTGCTAGACTTAATTTTCAATTGTCAATTGAGGCAATTCTATTTTTGATACAACATTGAAGGCGTCTGCAATTCAAGAATAAATAACATGGAAATAAATTTGCTTCTTGCTGCTAATTAGAGCAATCATGAGGATTGATTTTCCGACTTTTTGAAATAAGCGGATAATTTTCTTACGGCCTGAGTGGGTTTACGAGCATCAAAAATGAAGGTTTCTCGTACAGTCGTAAGGCCAGATTCTCGTCTCTATGGACGACGTGACTGCGTTTAAAATAATCATTATCGGCCTACACGTTGGTTTCGCTTGCGTATTTATAAACTTATTTTTAAAAATACATCAATCGAAATGATTTTTGCAAATTACGACTTTGAAATCATGAGTTAAACGATGTTGCAAGTAGCGTTCAGAGCCGCAAGAACTTCATACTTTTAATTGATTGTGCTTTCTTAGATGTTGATAATCTGTCTTTATAACTTGCTTAAAAAAATTTCAAGCATTCATGAACAGAATTTTTGCATTTACCGCGTTGCAGGTTAGCAGCATGGTATTCTTGAGCGATCCTCCGGTATTCAAGAAAAGCAAAAGTTTGTACGTGGGCATAGCAGTGTATCCTACAGTGGCTTTCTTCAACCACTCCTGTTTTCCTGCCGTCGCCAGGTAAAATTGACGCTATAATATCTCTAAAAGAACTTCACTTGGAAACTCGCTATAATGAGGCTAATGATCCTAATTAAGTAGTTTTAAGAGTTAAAGGAGTTTTGCGTTGGTTGCATTCACAATTAAAATCTAAAGCAGAACTGAGCGACAGTCGTGCAATGAAGTGCTGGAAGATAAGATTTTCGCCGTTTAAATTTGCTGAAATATGGTGGTATCTTTGATGAGCTTCACTTTCAAAATAAAATATAATAGCAAAGTTGAAATTCTTGCTTCATTGAGTGAAGGACTTTTTCTCTACACTATAATATTTTACTTTTCGCAAAAGCAAAGTCAACTAAAAATAACATGTGCTGACTTCACTAACTTCTAACTAATTTTAAAAACCGCCAATGTTATATTATTGATGAATCATAACAAACACTCACGCCTCATGGGCAGACATTCATTTGCATGTTCTGTATAATTTCTATAAGTAATAAATATATAATTACAGAAACTTGCAATGTGTTAAAGCATAGTCCACACTCTTTTTCTTTTCATTCTTTTCTTGCCCCTTTCTTTTGGCTTACACCGCGCGAATAAGACACAAAATTGCGCACCTTCACCTCGTCTCTCCTTTGGCTCAGTCTTTTCTCTTGTCTCGGCCATATTTCTGTCTCGTCTTTGCTCTTGCACCTGTATAAATTCTTTTATTCTCTATCACATTCTTATATTTCCTTTTTACCCTGAATTCTCTTGTAGTTTCTAAATCATGCCTGTTACCTCTTAAAATTATTTGACTAATAAGTTTTCCCATTTCTGAAGTGATGTGTTTTAATTGCGGCTAAAATTGTCAATTTGATACATCAGCAATGGAATACTCCTTCACTTTGTAATAAAGTTTTCCTTAGAATCTAAATCGTGCTAACGTTCGCATACTGCCATCCTCGACCCTCTTCCCCACACAGTCATCCCTCAACCCTCTTCCCCACACAGTCATTCCTCAACCCTCTTCCCCACACAATCAATTGTCCGCACAATATCTTCAACAAATAATTTCTTCATATCTTCACCGGTAAGAATATTTTTCACCCACGCGGCCCTATAGCACACATGCCTGGCAGCCTGGCAACCGAAGGGAAGGTTTGGAGCAGACGAGATTTGGATGTCACAACAATATTATTTTATTTAATTAAGCATCAATATACTGCCTCTTAAGTGTGTAAATTTAAAGTTCAAGTTAACATGCATCTTAATTGATTATTTCCTTATTTTTCGCGCTCAAATTTATTTGGCAGGATATTGATTGTTACTGAGTGTGTTCATTTCATTAATATGTAGAATATTTCAAATATTGAAGTATGTTAAATAAGCAATTTCCAACTCACGTGATGTTTGCTTCCCATAGTTAAATAGTCATTTTCCTATTGACATTTTGCGTACTATATTTCGTCGCTCCGCTTGCAAACTCCGGACTCGCTATCGAGCCGCTGCTGTCATCCGAGTTGACGGAACACGCCGCTTATCAGCGTTCCGAATATGATTTATTCATTTTTAATAATAAGAAACACTTTAAGAGCAGGTTACTATGCGCGATATTCATTTTAAGTACGTGCTTCCGATATTCCGCATCTCTAGCTCGCACGTTCGAATGTGAGGACTTATATTGTGAACTGAGAAGCTGTGATTTGAATGATTTATTTCCTTGAAATGAGTGCATTAAGCATTTTTGACATCTCGTGCATTGCTCCCAGCGAGGAGAGTTCAAAATTTTATTTCAGCGGTACAGTCTGCCAGTGTGCCTGCTGCTTTGCACCAGCGGTACAGTCAGGCAGTGCACCTGTTACTTTGTATCTGTTACTTTGTACCTGCTGTACCTGCCGTATTGCACTGAAGGTGCCTTCTGGTGTTGAATCTAATAAAATTTGCATGTACTACATATTAATCTGTGCACGAAACATGACGTGTCATCTCTTGACAGACATTTTGAAGGCAAGCGTATGATGGTGAGCAGCATCCGTAGAGTTGCGGCTGGGGAGATGCTGGCCGAGAACTATGGACCGGTGTTCACCCATCACACCCTGGAGCAGCGTCAGCGCAAGCTACTGTCTCGATACTGGTTCAGGTGCGCTTGATAACTCGTTAGACGTGCAATTTCTGGGTACTTATTTTTGTAAGTTTTTATTACTTTATTCATTGGAACTTTTTTCTATTAAACCAACATTTTAGATCACTCATCTTGCAACATCTCTATTAAATTTCAATTTCATTTAAATGCCTCATATGATTTGTTAAGGTCTTGTGATTATTCTCCCCATTTTGCTCATTGTCTTATGAAATGATTAAACATGTCAGTCTTGCCTAGTAAAATATTTGCGACACCTATCGTAATGCTGCTTTCTACATCCCAATTACACAATTGTCATTTATAAATCTTGCCAGGGAATAAAATTCCTATAATGGTAGTTTAGAATTAGCAACGCAGTTGACTAGCAACAGCATCGCTGCTTTAAGAGCAAGCCATCGATATCTTATGTGTGCTGTTCTTCATAGAAACTGTCATCCAGGATGATGCTATAATGCATTTATATTTATGTAACATGAAAGAGATGAATGATTCCATATGATCCTTTGAGCCTTAAATATTCACTTCAGGTTTAAATTCGTTTAGTCCTCCAAAGTTCCTCCCGCCAGTCAGACGCGACCAATTAGAGTGAGTCAGGAACGATAGTGAGTTGATGAAATTCTTTAATGTTCATTGCTCTTTTAACAAGCGATAGAATCTTGCAACTTAGTCTTAGGAGGCCCTCAGTGCTATGTGCCCTCAATGCAACATGCCTTGAGTGCCCTCACAAACCCCAGTTTTTGCCCTCAGTGTCCGTATGGACTCAGTGCCGACAATACTCTCTCTGCCTCGAGTGCCCTCGTTGCTCGGTGCCCTCAGTGCCCGCATGCACTTAGTACCCTCTATAAACTCACTACTCACAATCCCCTCGCAAAAACCACAGTGCCGGCAGTGCCGCGACACCCAAAGCCTTCTGTAGTATTACGTTCTGTAGAAAAAGCCTGAGTCACGTACAGCGAAACGTTTGTCACGTGCCACGCTCTGTATGCATGCTTATCAGACGAAGTTTGATAATGAATGTCAGGCGAATGTTGTGTTCGAATGTCATAATGTGCATAGTCATGACTGCTTTTATTTCAGTTTTATGCAATACACGAGGCATGATATATGAAATACGATACGAGGCACAATGCGCGGCATGAAAAGGCATAATGCGTGACGTACTTCGATTTACTTGCATTGCATATATTATTTTAAATTAATGCTTTTATCGTCCAGTGACCGTGGAAAAATTTAGCAGCCTCGCAGTTATTTGATTTATGAAGACAATTGAACTTCACGGTCCTGGAATAAATTAGCGACAACCGAATGTTTCATGAACAACATCATAAACATTCCAATAACAATATCTTCATTCATTCTTCAGTTTTTCAATTAATAGAATTATAAAGAGATAGAAGATATGTATGTTCTATGAACTGCCAACTGCATGTAACCAATGAACTGCCAAGCAAAGAATATTAAATGTGAGGTCAATGGAAACCCGCTCCAGCTGATGAGAAACGTAATTTAGTTAGTAATTTGGTAATCATTTATCCATCTGCAATTGATCATTGATTATGAGAACAATCTTGTCAATCACAATTATACGTAAATCCTGGAGTAAAGATCAGAGGACAAGGGCTTTTTGGGAGCTGTGGGCATATCGCTATGGGCCGTTCAGATGCCCTGTGAGAAGCCATGGGCATCTCTAACAAAATTTAAGGTTTGCTAGAGACTCCGCGACACTCTATCATACCTCTACAGCCTCTTTGGCCTGCACTCTACAGAATAATTTGAATTTCTCACGTAATAATAAAATTTTAAGCAATAATTACTTATATTGAGCTTTTAAGATTAAAGTGTGTCTGTGAAAATCGATCATCAATTTATAAAATAAACACAAGTCTTGAGAGCAGCGCTGTGTTTGTGTTAAAGCTTGGGTGCATACTAAGCAAGCTATATTGCAACCACGCATTAAATGACGGCGCATAAATTGAACTCCTGTACCATCAGTCGAGTGCCGTGTTTTCATAATTGAAAATAATTTCCTACTTCATTGGAACCGGTGAATATAAATAGGCGATCGATCTAAAGTGGAACGATGATCATAGGCATCGCGATGGTAGTAGGTGGCATGATGGTCGTAAGTTCAAATTACACGACTTTTTTTACTTCATGTTTGAAACATCGGTGGGTGGCTGCTGGTGAGCGTGGTAGGAATTCTTGGTACGTTTTATTCATGTTTTAGAATTAAAGTTTATTTAACTTCGTTTTTTCTGCAGTCTTCTTGTCTTATAACTGAAAAAGCTGAATTTTTGTCTGCAGGTGTGAGTGTGAGGCGTGTAGAGGCGGCTGGGGTACTTACCCTGAGCTGGTGCAGCCTCTGCGACTGAAGTGCCCGCACTGTGGCAACGCTTTCACTCCCTGCAACAACAATGATAACAAAAACAACAGCAAAAATAATAGCAGCAACAACAGCAGCAACAGCAGCAGCAACAGCAGTAGCAACAGCCTCAGGAAGAGTAGCAAAAATGATGGCAAGGATAGCAAGGCAGCTGCGTTGTGCTCCTGCTGTCACAAGCCCGTGCCCTTTGAGCAGATGACGGCGGAGATGGCGCTCGCTAAGCAAAGTGAGAGAAAATCTTTGTTTAGAATAATAAAAAAATTAAAAAGCGGCTTCGAAACTCAATAGCCGATTTACGCTGATTTGATTTTAATTTTCGGTGCAGTTAGATTAATCGTTTTAAAGCTTTAAAAATTTCCCGTTACTGTATATATCAAGGATTTGTATTGAAGTACACAATTATTTAAATTTTTACGTGAGCTCTTGTTTGTTGCTCAAGTTTCGCTTCTTATCTGAATATCACAATGAACGAAGAGTGCCATTTAATTTCTGGAAAAAAAATGCATTTTTGTGGTAATACTATTCCTATCAGAATCATGTAATGGTAAAGGTCTTACTTGCTTGATTCAGATTGGGCTGGTAGCGTGTCGTTACGGATTTTGTATGCATAGGCTCACGGATCTTTGGCAGTTGAGGACCTCAATGTAAAACTGTTATTATTCGAATATTTCAAATATTTGTTGCAGGCACCTTTATTATATATCAACACTTTGGCTTAAACTTCGTTGTTTGTAGTAAAGAAAGTTTATTGGGTCCGCCTCACGCCACATGACGGTCCGGTCGGAGGAAACTTTATTCAATGGATAAAACATAAAATATAACATCTAATGCAAAAAAATCTCTAGTATGACCCCTGGGTGTGGATTATTAAATTCAAGAACGTTAAAATATTGAAAATCTACGAATCTTTTATATTATTCAACACAAAAATCATTTGGCATTAAGCTGAACGTAACACTAAGTAACCCAACATTATTTTTGCTACCTATCATCGAACGTAAACTGTTTACTGACCTAATCAATCACATTATTTCCGTCCGTTCTATCATTTGAGTGCTAACGGTTGAACAGCCTGGGACTGCGAAGCGAGGTCGCGGCTCGCATGTCTCTTTGAGAATCAATTTTCGGATGCGATTATTCATTCATTCATGCAAATGCGTTCCAGTTCAGGACCTCTCATGGATTAAGCCTTTGAGGGCCAAAACTGAGCTCGATAATTACTCCATCTGAGATGCGTCTTTTTGCGTACACTTTGATTATCAGCATTTATACACTGTTAGAAAAATTACCGTTAACGGTATTACCGGCGTTTCAGTGGCCGGTCGGCACGTGAAAAGAAACACGGCAGTTTTTATTTTAATTTATCACTAGAAATTCGTAAAACATCTGATAAAAATGGCGAAACAGTTTATTTTCATGGGGCGACCGGCCACTAGAACGCCGGTGGGACCGTCTTTTCACCGTTTTTTCTAACAGTGTAGGTACGATACGTACACAAAGTGATGCGGCTCGAGCTCCGAGCATTCCGCTCAAGTTCCGAGATATACAACTCATGTTGCGAGCAACAGGAGTAAGTGCCGAGAAATACGACTCGGATCCAAAGGTGAAACTCAGAGTGCAATACGATTGCACCTTGAGTGATAAAACAGAAGTTCTGCGCCAAACAATGTATTTCTAAGCGAAACGACAGAAAATCAGAGCTTTATCTACTTGAGTTCGAGGGTTAAGCTCTTAAGCTTGAGTTTCGAGCATTTAGACTCAATTAAGCATTTAGACAGTAAATTAGACTCAATTATTTAAACTCAATTAATTAAGAACTCGAGTAACGAGCATTAAGACTTGAGTTCCTAGGATCAAGCACCTCGACTCGACTTTCGAGTACCTAAACCCAGCTGTTTCGAGCATGAGGATTCGAGTTCTGAGCATTAGAACTCAAGTTCCGAGCATTATGATTTGATTTCCGAGCAATGCGACTTGAATTCGTACACTATATAGAACTCGAGCTTCGAACAATATGACTCAAATCCGTGTAATACCATGTTAATTCCGAGTGATACGGTTTTCAGCGTGCTTAGAACTCTTGGTTTGTGCCCAGATGTAAGCACCTATAGAGCTGCTTTTTTATACGAGTTCAAAACTCTCGATCTACTAAGATACCTTTCTTTAGATCTATTACGTGACCAAAACTTTTCCCTCTGAATAATGTTTCTGGCGCCTTCACTTCTGAATGTTTCGCAAGGTTGAAAATAGCCGCTGACCTGGACCGATTAAGCCCCTTACAGCTTATTAAAAAGGAAGGCTTCATTGTTATGACTAATTACACTAAGTTTTTTTTTCTATAAATGCTGTATATATCTGGGCCTATATGGTATTGGAAACATTCGTACATTTTTTTCATGAACGCTATACCCGCAGTCTAGACCGGCAAGCGCAACACGCTGCTGCCTTGCTCACATCGTACAGATCTCACACTCGGACTAAATATATTTCATGCTCTACAATACCCAATTTGACCATGACACACGATGAGCATGAGTCAAGCTCTACATCACAATGACTCATGCTGTAATATGAGATTTACATCATTTTTAAATGAACTTTACCCTGAGTGAACCTGAGCTTTAAGAAGCCCGGTAAAAACATCCATTCACAATTGTAAACAACTTTATACCTTGAATTAATCACTAAAATATTACACTTCATAAGGCATGCCAAGTATTTCCTCGTATTTTCATATTTTATTATATTCTTGAATGCATTCGCAGCTTATAGTAGTTGTGCGTTGAAACTTAATAGCAAGGTATTAATAATTTAGCTCTTGATTAGTTCACGTTCTCAGTACTTTAATATTGTTGAGTACATAGAATTTAGTTTTGTTAGCTGACATTTCTCTCACGCTAGCTTTGATTCAATTTTCCACACCGGCTCGTGATCCCTCAGAGTTCGCGAGCGGCCAGCGTCACATGGACAGCGGTGACCGGGAGTGCGCTATCAGCGAGCTGACGACGTACGTGACGACGGCGCAGCAACACGTCGCGCTGCCTTACAAAGACGTGCACTTGGCGCTGCAGGCGCTTCGTCTTCTCGTCGCTGCTAGGGGCACCTGCGCCCTTGTCCTGCCTGCTAAATAAACCAACAAAAACTTTATATAAAGATAGTTTAACGTATCAATTTCTAAAAGTGGAATAAAAATTGATATTTGTTAATTAAAGTGGAATATTTATTAATTCCAAAATTGGAAATTACTCTGACTTCATAATTCTCTTCAAATGAGTAACGCAAAACTAATTTCAACGAACTCTAATGAAGATCCGAATTTATTTACGTGATGCCCTTAATGCCATGTATGTATCAATGTCGTAGAGAAAATTAAATTTTGTGAAACATTCATCTTTTACGCTTTGCATGAGCTTGGGCGGTTAATTTCCATGCATGCATGAACACAGTTTGAGAACATCTCCAATGGACAGCTCAAATTGATAACTAAGGCATAACTCTGATGGTTAACTTACAGATAATTCTAATGAATATAATTCTATAATGGATTATTCTAATTGATTATAATAAGATTAGCGTAAACAGGTGGTAGCCCTTCACAAGCGCAGATTAAGCAAAACTATATTGATAAAAAGCACGTGACAGCATTGAAATAAAAATAATTACAATCATTGACAGAAAAAAATTCCCATAGAAATATTTTTAGGATGCTAATTATGAGAGTTTAGTTGCTGTTAACTGAAGTAAATATATTCACTACGTGTTTTCTTTTTCCTTTCAACGTTGATGTGATATTGTTGCGAATGTTGTTGCAGCGAATGATATGCGCATCAGACATGCATGAAAATTGCCTCCTAGGCAAACTGGTGATGTATATGCATGTTCTATCCTCAGAGCAATTTTTGGATCAAGGTTTAGGAAAGATCAATGTGCAAAGCGTTTATCACGGAATCGTGAAGCAATAAATTCGGTATTTATAACTCTTAACTGTTGTCATTTGTGCATTCAATGTATTAGACTTTTAATTTTCAGTAGATGAACGATGTAATTAATTTTAAGAAAGTTTATAACTGGCCGTGGCCGATATGAGCTGGCATGAATCATAAGCTCCAGCACGAATCATAATGATTAGATAGATGAGCTCTAGCACGAATCATAACGTCGATAAAATTACAAGTTAGGAGCGTGGATCTTATTTAAGAGAATGTCTTGGTTATTTCATTTACCTCTTAAGCTCCTGGATTAGTGGTTTGATTCTCGCGACGGCAGGATTTTGTCGGCCTGTAATCCGCTCAGCGATGATGCCGGAGCTCGGCCGACATCGTGTCTTGGACTCGCGATATGTCCGCCTCATCTCTGGCGCTTCATTCCTGCCTTGTTGTTCGTAAATTTAGGCAATGTAGAAAACGTGTGCTAAACTAATATTTTAAATTCTGTATTTAATTTTGGAATATTCAATGCATACAAACATACAAAATGGTGATTATCTGCAAGATTATTTCAAGTCCTGTCTCAACGATTAATTAAAATTTAGGTAATCTAGAAAACGTGTGCACAACATATATTTTATACTCTGTATTTAATTTTGGAATATTTAATGTATAAAGCCGTACAAAATAGCAATTATGTGCAAGATTATGTGCAAGATGATTCAAGTCCTGTCTCAACGATTAATTAAAATTTATGCAGTCTAGAAAAAGTGTGCAAAAGATATATTTAAAACACTGCATCTAGTTTAGGAATATTCAATGCATACAAAGCATACAAAATAGTGGTTACGTACAATATTATTTCAAGTCTGTGCTCAACGTTTAATTATATAGAACTTCGATGCAATAATTATACATTGTTATCACAGAGCTACTACACAAATGACCACCTTGGTTAAATTTTTGAGGTTAAAGTAAAACGACGTGAATAGAACTGCAATTTCAGAAGAACGAAACTCGAGTTCACCCTTAAAGTTTCACCTGCTAAAAGTTCAAAGTGGCTCTATGAATGGTTTCATCCGTAATCGCTTGCACCAACAATGAATTTGACCTTCAACCAACAAACTCTATAGGTATGTGGTTCAGGCACACTACCTGAATAAGGTTCACAATAACGTCGGTATGATATCACTTACGAAACAATTTTGATAAAGAATATCTTGAAACAAGTAAACTTATTTTGACATGAGCGGCGCATTTGTATGGAACATTGGCATATAGATTTGTATAGTTATTCTTTTACATTGAATTCAGATTGATAATATATTTTAATATTTATACCCAGGACATCTCGTTGGCTCAAACTTAATGAATTTTGGAAGCTGATACACCAAGACTAAAACTAAGTTATGCAAACTAAGCTCTTAAATATTTATTTTTATTATTAGTAATATATACATAACATTATTTTTATAATAAACAAATTAGAGTAGATTAATTATCAAATGTCTAGTCCAATACTCTGAGAAAAAAGTTTGGCTTGTTGCGTTGAATGCTCATCAAGTGTGTGGTAGTCATGGCAACGCGTAGCGCTGGGAGACGCTGTGTTGTCATGGTAACGACGCTCGAGACTTCAATGTTGACCAAATTCATTCGCGCTAACGAGGTGAGTTGCTGGTGATAAGGAGACTGGAAATTGGGTTAAATCTCCAGATAGGTGAGTGGCTAGTGCTAATGGAGCTGAAAATTTCAATAGACGACAAAATGGGTGAGATCCGAGGGTTATATTTAGGCTATGATACTGTAGCTTCTTCATCCAATAATTGTTGCTAAGCTGAGGATTGAGGTGATCATGGGAAGGAGATTGTAATAAGTCCAGAGCGGGGTAAGTGGTTGTGTTAGATGAAAATTGTGAATTTATCCCTGACGAGGTGAGTGGCTGGTGTTTAGGTAGCTTGACATTGTGAATAATTCCTTGGCGAAGAAAGTCGCTGGTGTTACGATCGAAGTATATGATTACAAAATTAGTGGCTGATATTTCAGATTTCAGATTAAATTTCAAAAATTCATCTTTATTCAAATTTTTTCAAGTGGTGTAGTCTGGGCACGAGTTTAAAATGATTTGATTTTAAATAGTAAACATTGTAAGAGGAAGAGCATGCAACTAGGAGCCTTACATGAGCCAAGTAAGACATGCCATAGGCTCATGATAGCACACCCGAACATAAGAGTTTTATTTTTGACTGCGCATGCGCAGTTATGCAGCACCAGACCACCCAGGAAGCCGTGCTCGTGAGCATCGCCTCGAGTTGCTCAGTGACCTCAAGTTGCTCAGTGACCTCATCCACCCAGACGACCTCAGAGCGACGTGAGGGCGTGAGACGAGCCTCCGTCACGGCCGTTCATGTAACCAGGAGGTCGTCGTCCTCTGCTTCGTCCCTGGCGTCGTCTGCTGGAGTCGCACGTCAGTTAAGCTTGTCTGCCGTAGCTTGTCTTTTAGGACAGATGTATCATGTAGGTTATAACATACAGGGGTTTGACAAAAAAATATAACTCAGTACTCACTGCAATGAGTGACAAAGAGCGCATTTTCTCGTCGACGAAAACGTGGTCACGGACGGACAGGCGGACGGACGGACATGACGAGCACAATAGCGCCTTTTTCCATAAATGAGAAAATGCGCTAATAAGGGAAACACCTGAGAAATCCACAAAATTTATTTTAGTATGGTGTTAAAAGTTCACCTTTTGCGGCAATTACTGCCTCAATTCAGGTATTGATTCACACAAATTGTGAATTTTTCTAAAGAATTTTAACCCATTCTTCAGTTAAAACTAGCTCCAGCTCTTTTGAAAACGATGGCGGCGGGAATCGACTACTGGCTTGCATCTCTGAAATCTACCATAAGTGTTCGATAATATTCAGGTCTGGTGATTGTCGTGTCGAAATGACATGCTCAGCCTCAATTAGAATTTAGAATACCCTCGTGCCATTTTTTGACAATTCCATCTGTATGGAACGGGACTTTTTCATCTTGAAAGATGGCGTTCCCCTCCGTAAGCAGTACTTGAACCATTGAATGAACTTTGTCCTTCAAAACTCCTAAATAGTAACGGCTGTTGCTTCTTCCGTGAAGAGAATTCATTGGTGCGCCGTCCGGATTCACAAGAAATAGCATCCCAGATCATCACAGATTCCCCGCACTGTTTTACGGTTGGGAGCAGGCAGTCGGGATTAGGCTCTTTCGGCTGAATCCAAACTTAAACTCGGACAGAGGTTTAAATAAGGCAAACGATAAAATTTATAACCCAGTGATTGTCTTCTAAACATTAGGTCATGTATCTTCATGTTGTTATAATATAAGTTTTGGATGATGTTAATTAATAACACACTGTTAGAAAAATGACCGTTAACGGTATTACCAGCGTTTCAGTGACCGGTCGGCACGTGAAGAGAAACACCGTGTCGCCGTTTTTATTCTAGTTTAACACTAGAAATCCGTAAAACATATGATAAAAACGGCGAAACAATTTATTTTCACGGGGTCACCGGCCACTAGAATGCCAGTGGGACCGTTTTTTCACCGTTTTTTTTTTTTCTAACAGTGCAACGCTCTCAGCATTGGTGATTACTCGGGAGAACTCCTTATTTTTTATGCTCGTGAATTTTTTCGATAGTTTGACCTCTTGCTAATTTTCATTGTGATTTTTGAAGTGTTTTTTATTGCATGTGCTCAAGATGCTTTAGCGTTTCTGTTAATTCTTTAAAACTTTCTTTATCGTTGGCAAATGTGTAGAGGCTTGACTTCAGCAGAGGCTTCACAACATTGTTGTCGCGTCGATGCGGACGTTTGCGGATGATTTCATGTTTGCTGACACATTTTCTCATTTGTCCGCGTTACGCTATGAGGACCTCCGTTCACACTGTCTGAGCGTATCCATTAAGTTGTAGTTATCAAAAATCCGACAAACTTTTAAAGGTGGGGAATAAAAATAGAATTAGGTTTAGGATAATTACTTCCCTTATATTATTGAAATTCCTTCGATTAAACAAGTGCAGGTGACAGCATGACCTGCTCTTCAAATACAGCGAATTCCAGAAGCACATAAAAACGAAAGTAACACACGGCTGTGTATTGTGCAGCGTGCAGTGGTATCTCCTAGCTTAATCCAGAGTAATCTTGTTAAGTATACCAAGAACTCGATTGCTTCGCCTTTCTCAGTGGGCGTACGCAGAGAATTGTGCGCGAAGTGTGTGCGACGCTCAGCTTGCGGTCAGAAGTGAAACAAGTGACTATAGCTTAATAGAGGCTCCTGAGCTTGGCAGAAGTTCTAATAGAAATTAAGGGATTAATTTCACTCTACTGAATATTAAAACGAGTGTTCAATTAAATATCAGGGACCGAAGTCTTTTATGATGGATAAATTAGATTGTGTCTAACATTATCTTAAAGATTCGTTAAGAGGACTGTGGGTCACGATATAGTTTACTAATAATTTAATTAATGTTAAAAAGTTGATCCACCATAAGTTCCTTATTTTTTTGTTATTAATGTAAAAATAGTTAGGCAAATGTTAAAAATAAACCTCTCAACGTTCAGAAAAAAAATAGATACAAATAATAACCAGAAAGATAATGCAGACACAAAAGAAACGTGGTAAACGTCTTCGAATCTTATTTTTCGTTCAATCAATAATTTGTCTTTCGAGGGCTGTCAGGACACTCTCCAAGGCAGCCCTCGATCGAATTTTAGTTTCAGCAGACACCGAACATCAACTTCTTCATAGAATAACTCTACTAGAGACATTATGTGGATGAATATGATTCATTATTGCCATATTTTGTTTGCCACAGTAGGTCAGCACTTGTTAGCCCGAGAACAAGGTTGAACGCGGCCATCCAGCCGAGTTCAACCTTGTTCTCGGGCTAACAAGTGCTGACCTACTGTGGCAAACAAAATATGGCAATAATGAATCATATTCATCCACATAATGTCTCTAGTAGAGTTATTCTATGAAGAAGTTGATGTTCGGTGTCTGCTGAAACTAAAATTCGATCGAGGGCTGCCCATCCAGATGTCCATTTCTATGAGTTGCAAATGATTACCGATCGGCTTTATAACACACCATTAACCGGGGGCGTCATAATTAAGGTTTCAATTACAGGGGGGCAAAGGCTCCTAGAGACGTACAGGTTCTATTTCACAAACATTTTAAATATTTTATACAGTGCAAAAACAAACACAAAGAGTACGGTTTAAAGCATTAAAATGTACTGTTATTGTTTAAAGCATTAACAACATATTCAGAGCACATTATATATACGAGTTCGTTGTCATTCGTCGTAAAAAAAATTAATACAGGCATGGAGCACAGCGGGTCGTCGTCTGGCACTTCGACCCAGCACGGGTCTCCAAGTCGGCCAGGAGCGTCTCCTAGCGTAACAAACGATCAGGAAACTCATGTCCATAAAGAGTAAGTCGTCTTCAAATGGTTTCTAGTAAACCTTTTAATATTTGACTGTTTTAGTTTGCATTGTAAACTTTGAGTTCGTTGTAATTCTAACAGAGTTCTCAATCTAGGCTGCATGCAAAGACGCGGTAGAACACAAAAATAAATTGTTCTGCATTTATCATAGTACGAGGTAATGATGATTGATGAAAAGATCCCGATTCATTACCTCTAAATTAATTAATGCCATATTTAATATATAAACTTTGTCAAACTTATATGAGACATTCTTTCTCGCGAAAGCTGTCAAGACTACATCGTACCACCGCTGCTGGTCGACTTTTTCCCGCCTGCCACTGAAATGTTCATCAGCGTACACGCTCCTGTTGCTGACTTCTTAACGGGGATAACCGACGCACACGCTGACGTCAGGAAACACGCCAATGTCGAAGAAATACAACCAAAAATAATCGAAATTGATGCTAAAGATAACTTTAATCAGGTTCCGGACACATGTGACAAACCAACTCTGGAAATGAAGCAACTGAAAACGTTGGACACGACCGACCCAACTCGGGCCAAGCTGCACAGGACTCCGACGTTTAGTCACACCGAACATTTCATCTTAGAAGCGCGTAACGATTTCCACGAGTCGTCTTTCAAGTCTGATAAAATTGTAAGCACTTAACTGTTTGATTTTTTACTAGGAGGTAACAGAGTGATTCTTGAAATATTCCCTAGGAATTAGTAACTATTCTCCTTATATTGTCACCAATATAGAAGTGTCAATAAAATTGTCATGCGTTCAGTTACAAATGAACTGACTTGAAACTACTGCCTATTATTTTTAATGAAGCATTTCATTGAGAATGATTTAGGTATTTCGCTGCTTCCAGGACGGCATGATGAGGTACAATCCAGCCACAGAAAACTGGACCGAACCTGCGCTTCTCGTTCATAAGGTGCATGAGCTTCGTCAACGTTAAATGTTTTAAAAAGTTCGAAGATATCTTTCAATGAGAACTGGTAATACTGGTTCAAAATTACAGTCATTATATCTTTTAAACTTAAAAAGATGGATTTTCCTATTTGATATATTCGATCGGACTTACAAAATTGAAAATGTTCTCACCCTTTTTCTTCTTCTTATGGTGAAGTAATGGTAAAAATTACTTTTATTTAATTAGTCAATTGGCATATACAGACGGACTTAACCAGCCTCGAATTTGACTTGTTAAATCCGTGGCAAATAGAATCGATTCACTGCGTCTATATTTCCTGTATCCATTCACTGCGTCTATATTTCGTGTNTCTTATACACATCTAGATGTGTATAAGAGACAGTATCCATTCACTGCCTCTATATTTCCTGTATCCATTCACTGCCTTTGCATTCCCTGTATCCATTCACTGCGTCTATATTTCCTGTATCCATTCACTGCCTCTACATTCACTGTATTCATTCACTGCGTCTATATTTCCTGTATCCATTCACTCCCTCTACATTCCCTGTATCCATTCACTGCGTCTATATTTCCCGTACCCAATCACTGCGTCTATATTTCCTGTCTGGTAATTTGGTCTGGTAATTCAATACCTTTCACTGCGTTTATATTTCCCGTACCCATTCACTGCCTCTATATTCCTTGTATCCATTCACTGCGTCTATATTTCCTCTCTCACTGCCTGCTGTTAAACAGGCTCAACGAGACACAGAAGAAGCCCTGCGCAGCGACCTGGCTGCCATCACCGTCAAGTGTCGTCGCCTGGAGGAGGAAGTTCGGGAGTCGCGCGCTGGGTCATCTGAGCGCGGCGTGCAGGTGGCGGAGCTGTCCAGGCAGCTGGACGCCCACCGTCAGGAGCACGCGAGGCAGGCGGCCACCATCATCTCCCTCAGGAGTCGTCTGCAGGTCGGGGCTCTGTCTCTTCACTTGTGTGTCTATTCACTTTCGATGGAACTGTTTTAGGATGATCTGAATAATTCCTTGGAATGATTCGGGATTTCCACTTTGATTGCACCTGCTTCTTATACGTACATCCTCAACAATAAAAATTGTTCATACTAAATGAGTAAGCAGTACTATTTTCTTACTTACAATTTTGCGCATCCTATGGCTAATATTTAAAATCTATTGACATATGATTCAACAGAACATATTTGATCTGCACCATCAAACAGTATGTAGCATGTATTTGATGCCATGAACCTGACTGAGTTTCACAAATGGTTCTGGTAGCATTAGAAAAACCTCAGACTAAAACCTAAAACAATTGTGAATAAAAGTAACATGAATCAAGCCCAGTAAAATAAATCAAGTCGAGCACAGTAAAATGAATCAAGTCGAGCCCAGTAAAATAATCAAGTCAAGCCCAGTAAAATAAATCAAGTCGAGCCCAGTAAAATACATCAATAACCAAGTCAAGTAAGCTAAATTTTGTCTGCCACGTGAACCAGGAAGCCGAGGACGCGATGGCTAGTCTGCAGGCGAGTCTGCATCGCGCTGAGCTCAGCGCTGCAGCGCTCACCCGCGACAACCGCAGACACGCGCAGAGGATTGCAGAGCTCGAGGACAGACTCAGGTATAATGCGGGTACTGTTAACTAAACTTAGTCATCTGTGTTACCAGACAGAAATTGGCATGTAGAATCCGAAAATTTGACAGACTCAAGTGAGTTATGCAGACCAAAACATTGTCTTGTGACCCCTACATTGTCTTGCTGACAATCCTGTATTGATGACCACAACGCGTCTTGCTGAAGACAATACTGTCCTGAGCACTCATGAGACACTTGAGTCACAGAGAAATCAATATGAAATTGTAATTTACATTTTATTATTGAGCTGTGCCTCTCAATGCATCTCCAAACAATCATCTCCAACTGTCAACATCATCGTGCTTGACAATATCTAGCATCGCTGTACTTCGCACGTGTATGAGGAGTTCGGCAAGATGCTCAGCTACCCTAGAAGTGATTTTTTACACTAGGAGTGCTTCTTTACAAAGACGGGAGTTGGCAACGCTACGATAGCATCCTACGATCTTCATGTTCCGTTAGTGTAATCGTGCATAGGCATAGAAGATGTTTCTGTAAATAATTCCTACAGAAGGATTTATCGAAAGGATTACAAGCATACTTAAAGCGATCATTAAGAAGAGATTATTAATAAATATTATGCATAATAGTATCCTACAATCTTCATCTTTCGTAAGTGTAATCGTGCATAGGCGTATAATATGTTTTTGTAAATAATTCTTACATCAAAAGGACTTTTCGAGTGGGTTTCAAGCATACTTAAAGCGCTCATTAAGAAGACATTGTTAATAAGTTTTATGCTATCTGATATGAGTCGGTAATTAGTATTAGCTATAAATAAAATTTCCATGTCTTTCGAATGAAAGTTTATTTGAAACTGGAGCAAATCTGGGAAATACTAGTTTGGGGCATCGACAGAGTGGCAGCTCAATGAAAATATTATTTAAATTCATTACAAAAAAATATCGAAAACTTCTACATATTTTTCTATTTTTAAATGTTCTTTAATTTAAAAAAGGTACAACTTTAATTGGATTTCGGTAAAATACAAATTTTTAGCTTTTACTCATGGTTGTAAAATAAAAAAAGTAAAAATTTCTTCCGAAATGCAGTTAAAAGTTGCAGCACATAAATATATATTCGCCCCCTTTGATGGCTGAGCGCTGCAGTTCCAGACACTCTCGCACACCTGCGACGTAGAGCAGAACCACGACTTGAAATGCATTTTAATTTTTTCGATTTCGGTGAATTGATAGATTTCATGTTATATACGATATGTGAAGGCTTAAGCTGTTTTTTTTTTATTTGAATAGCCAATTAACAATAAAAGACCTTACGTTTATCTAAATTTCTTATGGTATTTCGCGTAAGTTGTCATGGGCTGCTGAGCGCTTATCATGGGTTGTTTTATGAGTCTACGGGATTTAAATAAATTATTTCATTTACTATTGGCAAATATTTACAAATTAATCCAAGGGCAGTTAAAGTTTAAGTGCAGTTTAAGCCCCTATTACTAAGTAACTGGAATATTGTGAGTAAATACTCACAATATTCCAGTGGAATACTCACAATATTCCAGTTACTTAGTAATAGGGGCTTAAACTGCATGCTCGGTCTAAATGTTCAGATATTTTCACTCCTGCACTGATGAACGGAGCGTATTTATTGTTAATGATTTTTGATGATAATCTACTCATGAGATTCATGATAAAAACTTATGATGAAAAATTTCTAGTCACTTGGAACCTCAGCTGGTGAAGAAGCTACTAAAAATATGATAGTAATGGCTTGAATTTTAATTCTGAAATTACAATGCCATGTTTAATTTCATCAGTTATTACATAGAGAGCTTAATAATATTAATAACTTAGCGTGGCCTGAAGAACTTGGTGTCATGTAGTCTACAAGCAGCGAGTTCCCTGCAGAACCTCAACAACTAGCACAAAAAAAAATATTTTCCCTAATCTGCAGTACAATTGACTCAGTTTTCTGTATCAAAGTTTCTCATAATTACAGTAACATTCCCTATATTTTTAACTTTAATATTTGCACTGCCATAATTTAACTCTCCGGCTGCAGGGTGCAGCTGGAGGAGCGTGAGGGAGCTGAGCAGCGAGGGGAGGCGAGTCAAAAGAGGCTGGGGGAGCTCGTAGCGTCCCTCACTTCCTTGCTGGGCATCCCCAAGGCGTCGACCACCACGCCTCTCCTCTCTGACGCCATCGTCAGCAGACTCACCGACCTCCTCAAGGTCGGAGCTACTAATGATTTGTCGAGTGGACCATCATTTATACTTGTATCATTTTCCTACAATTTCTCTCAGTTCGATTATATGTTTTTTTTATAAAAGTTGCTACCGTATTATAATATCTGCTCTAACTTTAGTGTTTTAATTTACAATTTAAATATACGATTAATGCGAACACAATTTTCATTCAAATATATGATTCAGAACTCTCGTTATAGTGTTCAGGAAGCAGATAACAAAAAGAATAATAGCTTAAACACTTGCCACATTTTAAAAACATTTATTATGACCAGCAGTGATGCTTGCTCTATTTACAGACGCGAGATATTTCTAGTGACTAGATAAAAATTGGATTCTTATCTGGAATAAATATTAGATAGAACATTAAATAAGATTGAATATTTGAAATATATGCATTTTCTAATTAGCTAATCTTGCCAACTCAGTTGCGAACGCTCTAAATGAAATATTAAATTTAGCATTCTTTTAATATTAGTAATTAGCATTCGTGGTCACCGTCAAGAAATCTTTATATGTAATTCTTCCAAGCTTCTCGAAAATATTGATATAATTGTTTTGCCCTCCTTCAGGAGTTAGGCGTCCTGCGTGTGGGCAAGGCGGAGCTGGAGGAGTCACTGCAGCAGCAGGCGGCAGCAGCTGAGGGCGCCCGACAGACGGTCACAAGACTCCTGCAGCAGCTTGACGACGAGAGACGTAGTCTGATCTGCGTCAGGGACGAGCGAGAGGTTCTCAGGAAGGTGTGGCTCTCTGGAAAGTATGGCTCTCAGGAAGTCTTGTGGCTCTCAGGTACTGTGAAGCACTGTGAAGCCCTAACCAAGTACTGTGAACACATTGCCAATACAAGTTTGCGGCTCAGGAAGGTACTTGTGGCTCTCAGGAAGGTGTGGCTCTCTGAAGAAGGTGTGGAACGGCGTTTCTTATTTATTCGGAGCTATATACAGAATCCTGTTCGTAATGACTGCATCTTTTATTCAACTCTATATTAATTCTAGGCAATTGACAAATTTTCAGTTCGGTGCCTGTACATCGAAACATCTTCATATTACGGCCTAATCTCAGGAGCGAGTGTTAATAGCGATTGGTATATTCCATTTCAACAATTTAGAACCTAGGAATATTCTATGTTGTTTCTATTTTTCTCGGTAATTGTGGTTTTTATATGTGGTATTGTTATTATAAAGTGGAGACTCGAAAACGGTTCTATATACCTATTGTGTTAGGATTTTAATCTGGAATTTGATATCTTGACTGATTAAAATAGAGGAAATGAGCATGATAGATACGGTTCAGGAATTCAAATTAAAACTTTTTTTATGAATTTGTGGCGAACATCCCAGGAGCAGAACAACTTCTGAGCCGCTGTCGCCTTCTGCTCAGAATTTACCTGCAAAATCAAAAATATCGATTAAAAATTTTTGCCGCTTGCATTATTCATGAAGGACTTTTTTAAATGAATTATTTATATGCTCGAATCGCAAATTGACCAACTATTTGAGAACAATACATAAATGGCGAATAAGTTGACTACATTTTCATATAACACTTTTTTAGAGATCATTCAGATTCACTAACAGAGTAGAGAGCGATCACATTTAAGCGGTTGTGATTAAAATCTAAATTGGAAAATGAACGGACCTCGTAACGTAAAGACCTGTCGGTTAAGAATTTCAGTTGGATAATAATTATAAGAGGTAAATAATGAACAGGTTTTCACTTCAAATGCAAAACGATTCCATGTTCTAAAAATCGGAAGCGCCAGAAGGGAGAATTATGATACAAAAATCGCTCTCAAACTCAAGTACGTCGCACAGTTCAGCGTGTACTCGCACAACAGAATGCGACGGATTGGCAAGCAAATTTCCAGCATGATAATTCCTTCTCCCTTGGTCGGCCAATTTTTTACGTGTAAATTCAGTGTTATAATCTATTTTTATCGCTGAAAATTTTGAACTGATGATGAAACTGGTCTGCGAAACATTTTCAATGATAATATCATGGTGAATTTTCTTGGCGCTTTCTTAGCTTCAAATTCTTACTTTATTAATTGTACTAAAGATGAGCGTCCTGAAAAATAGTTATAGCCTACGAAATAGAAATCTAATCATTACAACGAATCGGATTTTGAATGGAAATAAATACAAAATAAGAACAACCTGGAGAATAGTTATGGTCTACGAAATTGAAATCATTACCATTCCATTGAATCGGATTATGAATGGAAATAAAATGCACACTGCTAACTCACAGTGGCGTATGAAACAAATAATATAGCATAACCTGCTATAAATAGAACTCCATCATCGCTAATCATCACATTAGTTAACATTTGAACATCGGCAGAGTGAAGACGAGCTGCGCCTGCGCATGAGAGGCAGCGAAGAAGAGGTCGTCAGTCTGCGTGAGCGCGTGCACAGCACCAGCAGCAGCCTCAGCCGCACTCTGGAGGACCTGCACGCTACTGAGGCTAAACTGCATCAGGCTAGAGGTGACTAGCATGAGCCAGAGTCAGGCTAGAGGTGACTAGCATGAGCCAGAGTCAGGCTAGAGGTGACTAGCATGAGCCTGGGTCAGGCTAGAGGTGACTAACATGAGCCAGAGTCAGGGTAGGGGTGACTAGCATGAGCCAGAGTCAGGCTAGAGCTAACTAGCATGAGCCTGGGTCAGGCTAGAGTTGACTAACATGAGCCAGAGTCAGGGTAGGGGTGACTAGCATGAGCCAGAGTCAGGCTAGAAGTGACTAACATGAGCCAGAGTCAGGCTAGAGGTGACTATAGCATGAGCCAGAGTCAGGCTAGAGGTGACTAGCATGAGCCAGAGTCAGGCTAGAGGTGACTAGAGTCAGGCTAGAGGTGACTAGCATGAGCCAGAGTCAGGCTAGAGGTGACTAGCATGAGCCAGAGTCAGGCTAGAGGTGACTAGCATGAGCCAGAGTCAGGCTATAGGTGACTAGGATGCTCATACTTCTGCATGCTGCGGTAGTAATTGATTTCTTAAAGTAAAAATATTTTTAATCGGGCAAATAGTCTGCGCCCTTCAACGAAGAATATGTCAGTCGTTGCAGATATGAACTTTCAAATTCGCCGTATAATTAAAAAATATAACTCAGTACTCACTGCAGTGAGTGACAGAGAGCGCATTTTCTCGTCGACGAAAACGTGAAGTCACGGACGAACAGACAGGTAGACAGATGGACGGACAGACGGACGGACAGACGGACGGACAGACGGACATGGCGTAGCACAATAGTGCATTTTTTTCCATAAACGAGAAAATGCGCTAAAAATGACGGGATTAAATTACATATACGAACATTTTTATTTCCTGAGACGAGTGCGTTGTGGTGGAACACCGTCGACAGCAGGCGGAGGTGGAGTGGAAGGGAGTCCTGAACACCATAGCCTCCTTGCTCTCCACCAGCACCACCACCGCTGCTGAGGGCGCAAGGGTGGCACCAGCTCCTGACGACATCGTGCAGGCGCTGCAGACGAGGGTGGCGACAGCGAGGGAGATGTTCGAGGTGCTGTCCTGATTCCCTAACAAAATTTAGAGTCGCCCCAGCTTCTGGTACTCCAAATCAGAAGCTGACGCGTCTGTAACCCTAACAAAATTTAGAGTCGCCCCAGCTTCTGGTACTCCAAATCAGAAGCTGACGCGTCTGTAAATTTTCACTGGGTTATTGTAATGTTTAAGATTTTCACATTTGCACACTTTTACGCATTTCTGACAAGTTTTTCATTTTTGCGATGAAACTGGAACTTTATTCACGTAGTAACAGTTTTTTAATTAACAGCAATTCACTGACGTGGTTGATGAATTTTGTACCTACGAAATAATTCATGAAATTTCAGGAATATTAATTGTGGGATTTTTATTTTTTTTATATTTTTTACCTATTCAATATTGATTTCTGACAAGTTAGCAATTTTAGTGATGAAACTGGAAGATAATTTTAATTTACGGGAAATTGCTTTTTATTAACACAGGCGAACGAGCGGCTGAAGCACCGAGCAGCGAACCTAGAGGACCAGGTGAGTGTGCAGACGGAGCTCTACGAAGCCGCCTGCAGGCGGGCGCACAAGGCGGAAGAGGACAACAGGACGCTGCAGGCGAGAGTGAGGACCCTAGAGGCCGACCTCGGGGCGTCGGAGCAGGCGAGGGAAGAGTGTGCTACAGGCAACGAAAAGGTGAGAGACATGACTCTGGTTCATGATTAATTAAAAAAAGGAAATGAGAAGAAAATAATACGTAAGATATGAAAGTTAGTTTGAAAACGTAAGATACGCAAGTCAGTTTGAAAATAATATTTAATTGTAACTTTCTGACAATTTAGCAAGAGATTGTACAAATAAGATGCGATTGAAAAAAGGCTTAGAGATGACATTATTTTATATCGATAATATATCTTTAGCATTACCGAGATTCGCGAAGCAACTAAATTAAATAATAAAAGTATAATTAATAGAATTGTGCCGTATACATACATCGGCTTTCGCGATACTATACTATTCTATACTGTAATGTGTAGACTATGATCATTCATTGCAAGAAATTCGAAAGCAATTATATTATCAGTGTCGATTTCTACAGGCCTTTAAGTTTCATATGAGCCTTCTAACAAGTTTAGCGCTAATGAATTGAGTGAAATTCCAATAATAATGAAGTTATTATTATAGTTATATTGATAATGAAGTTATAATAATAATAATGAACAGAACGGGCGTTTGCTGAGCCGCGTGATGACAGCGCTCGGTCTTGAAGGCCTCGAGAACGAGGCTCGGTTTGATGCAGACCTCATCGTGTGCCGCGCGCAGCAGCTTGCCAAGCTCGAGGGCGACAAAATAGTGGACAAAGTAACCTCTTACACTAAGTGATATTGTGATAATCTATGTTTAGCATAATCTAGTTGATACTCTTGTTCATAATAATCTAATTTATGTTCACGGCCATACTAATAATGTTTATGTTCATTTTCAAATATAATTAAGTTTATGTTCATGTTCAGAGTAAGTGAGTAACCAAGTTTATTTTATGAGTCTATGATTCTCCTCGTTGCCTTCAAGTGTATAAGTCGAGCCAGATTGATCCTGTAAAGAAAGGGTTTACAGCGTTGATGTGGACGCGATGGCGTGTGAATGTTCAGAGCCAATTCAAAACTATTTCGGAGTGCGAAATGAAGCATTCACCATAAGTATTCTTCGTAAATGATACCCATTGCCTGCTGTAAACTGTTGGTATACCCTTGAACTTAATTTGCAGACAACGACAGTGTACCAGCTGCAGCGGAAGGTGAAAAGTCTCCGTGAAGCGGTAGACAGGAAGGAGCTTCACCTCGACATGCTCAGGAGGAAGTTAGCGCTCAACGAGGAGGCCACAAAGGCGGCCAAGAGCGTGGAGGACGAGAAGGAAGACCTCTTGGTCAGGTGAGAAGTGCTCCATGGCTTGCGGTGTATTAGTGATTGTAGATTTTCTGCACCAAGAAATTTTTAGAACTTTTTCGACAAATAATGTTGAACTTTATAAAGGAAATTTTCGGTTAACTTACGACTAGTTATTTGATAATAGATGTTTATTTTATTTTCCTCACTATAATGATGAATACGCGATGAATATACCTACAGATACAGACGGCAATGTCGGGCTCTGGAACGCGTCACTAATTATTATTCTCGAAATATTCCACTGATATTGGTACATTTGCACCAATTAAATATTTTGTCAGATTTAACTTTCCTGCGTTTTGTGCTGCTTTAAATTTATTTATCTTGCACCGATAGTTGATATTTAAACCGTCAAGAATTTGAAAGCAAAGAAGACACCAGAGAAATTCATCATATCTTAGGTCGGATTCATCATATCATATATCTGATTCATCATATCTTAGACATGATGAGTTTAATTGGCGTCTTTCGAGCGACAAATTTTGGTGAACTTGCGCTTCAAGTAGACTAAAGATACAAAATATATACACGAGTTTACTTGGCGTCTTCCACGCTACTAAATTTGAATGAATTTGCTCTCCGTTCAGACTAAAGATACTAAAGACATACATATATTCTTATCACGTCCTCCGTAACATTCATTACGGCGCTGCAGAGCCGCGCAGCGTCGCTGGAGGAGAAGGTCGAGGAGCTGTCCGCGAAGGTGTCGGAGCTGGAGAGCAACAAGGACCGACACGTGAGAAAGGTGGCACAACTTAAGGAGCAGGTGATTCACTCCGCGTGGTTTAGTTTTTGTTACTTTTTACAACACTTCTCTTTAACTTCACTTCTTGTTTGTTTGTTTGTTTGTTTGTTTCTTTGTCTGTCTGCTACAAATCTTATGATCCATATTTTACACACTTCTACCGGTCCAATCGATTTGAAATTTTGAGCACTTGCGTAAGTCATAGACACTGCATGAATCAATTGACGGAATAAATAATTTCGAAAATGTAATTTTTTATGTATTAAAAAACAAGAAAAATTATTTTTTTAATAATCGAAAATAAAATTAGAAATTCATTGTACATGTGTAACATTGGAAACGCTGGATTCTTTAGAAGTGTTGTCTTTAAAAATCAATTTTTAAACGTATATTTTTATAAATATAAGTTGATACTCGTAGACCTAACGAACTAATTGCTCAATCTCTCATTGAGTAAGACGATGTCGGAAACCTCTATATATCCTAATTATAAGGTTAGAGTTCTTTTTCTTTCATTATGAATTCCCAGTATTCAAGATAATTCAAGTTTCATTCATTAAAATTTTCAAATACTCACTCAATTCTCACATTAAGAACGAAGACTGAGAAATAATCATGTTTCTCCATTAACAAAAATTTTATTTTTTGATTTTAGAATATTAAGTATTCGATGTTAATTTTCTAAATTGTAACCATAGTTGATTTTAAATTACTAAGTATTCGATGTATGGGTAACATTAAACATCAAAACCTCCAAGATTCATGACTAAGTTATTATTGGTATGCTGTATTGGTATTATTGCTGGTATTGGTATTGCTGCTGTTATTGGTATTATTGGTATGTATTATTGCTGATGCTGCTGTACAGGTGCGCGTTGCGTCGGAGCAGCTACTGGAGGAGAGGCGCGTGAGTGACGTCACTCTGGACAGCATCTCGCACGACATGGCGCTCGCTAGGCAGGGCCTCAGAGATGCCCTTAGAAGGGAGAGGACCGTTAGTAAACCAGACAACATTCCTGCTAAATAGTATAACTTTTACTAAAATATACACATTCTTGCGTGTGTTAATAGATGTATTTATAGGGAGACGCCCATGGTTGAACTATATACGGTTGACCCAGGAGGATTTCCGCCTTTCAATTCAGCTTTCTTGTTACGTCACGTAGATCGAGAAAGGTAAACTATCCCATCATTCCCATGACGGATTGGTTAAATAATAAATAACAACGGTTTCAGCGTTTATTAGGCCGTAGGCCTGTCGCCGATTCTTAACATCGCAGAACATTCACAGCATTTTGCGGTCTCGAACTTTTATCCATTACAATGCGTGCAGTTGCTGGAGTTCCGTCGAGTAGTGACGGAGTTGTTGGGTGCGGACGCAGACGACGGCTCCGACTTCGACACGCTGAGCCGCCTGCAGCGGCTGGTGGCGGGGCAGCGCGAGATGCTGCAGCTCTCCAGGAAACTGGATGACGTCACAACGGGACTGTCACGGCCCTGCAGGTAATGCAATTCACAAATTAAAATATTTATAACAGTTACTATAATTAAAATACATTTTTCGGCAAACTTATTATGCATATTTTTGCGCGTTTTCTCAATTTATGTAGAAAAAGCACTATTGTGCTGGCCATGCCCGTCTGTCCGTCTGCCTGTCTGTTCGTCCGTGACTTCACGTTTTCGTCGACGAGAAAATGCACTCTCTGTCACTCACTGCAGTGAGTACTGAGTTATATTTTTTCATATACTACACGAATATCAATACGGGACTGTCACGGCCCTGCAGGTAAAACAATTCACAAATTAAAATAATCATAATATTTACTATAAATAAAGTACATTTTTTGGCAAACTTATTATATATATTTTTCATATACTACACGAATGTCACTACGGGACTGTCAAGGCCCTGCAGGTAAAACAATTCACAAATGAAAATAATTATAATATGTACTATAATTAAAGTACAGTTTTCGTTAAACTTATTAAGATATACTACATATATTTCATATACTACACGAATATCCTCTTTCTATGCCTCATACTCCTCCGTTAGTTTAGCACGAGTTAGAATTTACGTCTGCGATTGCCTCAAATTGGAACTATTGACGAATGTTCCTTATTCCACGAAATTTTACGTGATCTTATGTTATTGTTTACTTTTTAGTGATTCATCAAGTTCTCATCGAGTATCATCTTTTTCTTGTACGCAAGTGACGGGAGTGTCGCTGCGAATACTGTGTATAATATTAAACAATAATTGCAAGATTATTGCACCTGAACGTTGGAATGCACATATTGATCCCATGAATATCGAGTACAATTGATGTAGTGTTACATTGTTACGTTGTTATTACATTGTTTACCTCCCCCCCCCCCCCCCAGCGCCCACACCCTACATAGCCGCTCCTCCTCAGGACGCTCCCTCTCCCCCCAGCGGCCAGTGTCCGCGTCACACACGCTGCTGCTCGAACACAGGTAAGGTCATGGTTGAATTAATACATTAATACATGGTTGAATTAATAATTATATTATTTCAACCATGGGTAAGGTACTCTAGCCACACGAAATCCCGCTACACGAAATACCGCCACATGAAATCCCGCCACCCAAAATCCCGCCACACGAAATCTCGCCACCCAAAATCCCGCCACCCAAAATCCCGCCACACGAAATCTCGCCACCCGAAATCTCGCCGCACGAAATCCCGCCACCCGAAATCCCGCCACACGAAATCACAAGCAATCTCGCAACACGCAATTTATGATCACAAGCAAGTCACGTCACATGCAATCGCAATCGCAAGCAATCCTGTCACCCACAATAAAGTACCATTGTTTACATTCTTAGGCAATGTCAGACTTGCTCGTTATAGTTGACATATTATTTACAATGTTGAAATTCATAGAAAAGTTTTTTCGCTAGTAACGAATTCAAGCAGATTATGTGTTGATGACACCAGTTACATGAACGTCAAAAATATTTTAATTCTTGTACGTGAGAAGTGAAACCAACATTCAATAAATATAAGTTCTCGTCGAATGGGTACTCCCAAAAACAATTTGATTTCGTGAATAAATTAAGCAGAGATTTTTTTATTATTATATTTTTTTTTCTTTGTTTATGTTGACTTATTGCGAGAATGTTTACATATTTGTTCCTCGGCAACAACCGTTGAAGCTAATTAAGCCTCCCGTTCACGTGAACTTCATTCTCAAACAACAGAACTCATTCTATTTAATGCAGTTTTCCTTATAAAAATTATTGCCGTTGATTTCTATTACTGAGTTTTGGTTGTATAATTTTATTTCTTGGTTTATTTTATTTTATAAACTCCTTTGTATCGATGCAGGTCTTTATAATTTTCGGTTTCATTTGCATATTTTATCCTCCTGATTTACTTTTCTAGGCTCCCACCACTAGATGGTACTCTAGCGAGCTTGGATGCCGACCTTCTCGCTCCCTCTCCCCCCAGCGGCCAGTGTCCGCGTCACACACGCTGCTGCTCGAACACAGGTAAGGTCATGGTTGAATTAATACATTAATACATGGTTGAATTAATAATTATATTATTTCAACCATGGGTAAGGTACTCTAGCCACACGAAATCCCGCTACACGAAATACCGCCACATGAAATCCCGCCACCCAAAATCCCGCCACACGAAATCTCGCCACCCAAAATCCCGCCACCCAAAATCCCGCCACACGAAATCTCGCCACCCGAAATCTCGCCGCACGAAATCCCGCCACCCGAAATCCCGCCACACGAAATCACAAGCAATCTCGCAACACGCAATTTATGATCACAAGCAAGTCACGTCACATGCAATCGCAATCGCAAGCAATCCTGTCACCCACAATAAAGTACCATTGTTTACATTCTTAGGCAATGTCAGACTTGCTCGTTATAGTTGACATATTATTTACAATGTTGAAATTCATAGAAAAGTTTTTTCGCTAGTAACGAATTCAAGCAGATTATGTGTTGATGACACCAGTTACATGAACGTCAAAAATATTTTAATTCTTGTACGTGAGAAGTGAAACCAACATTCAATAAATATAAGTTCTCGTCGAATGGGTACTCCCAAAAACAATTTGATTTCGTGAATAAATTAAGCAGAGATTTTTTTATTATTATATTTTTTTTTCTTTGTTTATGTTGACTTATTGCGAGAATGTTTACATATTTGTTCCTCGGCAACAACCGTTGAAGCTAATTAAGCCTCCCGTTCACGT